GTAACTTGAAGGCATTTCGATTTTACGGATGTGGAATTTATGATGTCGAGCTTCTTCGCCGATGTTATCTTTGGGACTGATAGGTGTGTGTAGAGTGGATAGACTTTCTCTCGATGGAATATTGTTGTTGAGATGTTGGATTTCTTGGTCGGTAGTTCATGATTCAGATAATTAATGCCTTCCAAATTCCGAGGTATTATCTGAAGTGATGGAAGCAATATCCTCCTCTGCTATTAAATCTGACTCGCTATCTGCATTAATTACATTTGTGGTTGAATTACAGCATTTAGCGAAATGTCTTTTTGTGTTACAGGTTTTACAAATTAAGCCTCTCGCTGGCCATGATTATATATGGTTTGGGGAATAATCTTTCCCGCAGAAGCAACAATAAGTTTGGTTGTTGTACGATCTGATGGATTTTCCTTTAGAAAACTTTGAGATTGATTTATTCTATTCTGAAGGTTTTTTTCTGAACTGATAAAGTAGGTTCCTGTTTTAACCTAAATTAATGGTTAAATTTTCGCTTGGACGAGTTTGAATAAAAATTGTTTCCCGTTGTTGTAAGCACTTGTTGTAAGGTAAGAGCCGTTTCGTAGCCGGTTTCCTGCAAAAGTGCAGATCTGAGCGTTTCCTCGGGACTAATTCCCGGCTGTATACAAAGTTCTCTCTTAGTATCCTTAACTTTCATTTTCGCAATATTTAACAAATATCCGAGGAAGACGAACGTTACGTTTGAAAGTATCTTGAATGGAAACAGAGAGATAGATAGCTAATCGTTAGAGAAATTCCGGGGAGCCCTCGCTGAAATGGCAAAGAAATGCAATATAACCGCAGGAGAAAACATATGGATACGAGATATTTTCATCAACAATATGAAAAACTCAGATATCCAACGAAAGCTCCTTACAGAAACTCTACCAACTCTAAAAGCACTAAATGTGGCCTTTACAGACGAAAAAAGAATAACGAAACACCTGAAAATGTCAAACAATTTCAAGTCCAAGGGATCTTCTTCAAAAAAATCTTTTAACCATTTTAATGTAAAAGGAGAACCAATTTTAAACATAGAACGAAGCAGTATTTGTATGAAATGCGGGAGCACACGTTTTCAAAAGTCTCTAAATATCCTGGACACTTTACCAGGCTATGTAAATCCCGCCGTTAAAATGTAGATATAGTAGATAGTCAAGTTGTACATAATACAGATTGTCATTATCCTTCAAAACAATCGGATATAAATAGTGACCGTGTAAATAGAAAATGTTGTGTGGTAATCAACGTATGGTGAGAATCCAGACAGAACGAAACGGATGGTTATTCTGTTTTAAATGTGACAACTATTTGCGACAACTAAGGAAAAGAACTCAAGAAATTGATAAATATCGAAATAGGAAAAATAACCTTGTGATTTTCAATACTCAAGTTTAATCAGCTATTCTTGTGAGTTTCCTCAACCGAAATGTCTTCCATGAATTAAAGTTGCGAGACCCGTAATTTAAAACTTATTTGGTGGAGCATTCGACAAAAGAGATCGCAGACATCGCAGAATGGATTCACAGACATCGCAATTAACGTCACTGAAAATTGAATTCTACCTATATTCTCGAACGGATGGTTTCACAATGAAGGCCAATTTTTTCTGACATAAGACCACGAGAGGACTATCCTTGGAACCGATAATTTACCAAAAGTGGTAATCGTAGTATCTCAGAAGCAGTTCGCAACCACCTTAACAAGAGAAGTTGTAAGTCCAATAATCTAATTTCTTCATTCTACAAAAAAAAAGAAATACATAATATAACCCAGACTTGTAAGCTATTATTCCTTCGGATTGGAAGAATAAAAAAATTTCACAAAAATTAAAACTTTTACATGAAACTCTAAAACCAATACAACTTAAAAGGTAGACGTGTTCCCCTCAAATTATTCGAGGCAGTAAAAACAGAACTAAATCCTCTCAAATTCGAAGGACACATCAAAAAAGTAGAAAACTGCGACAAAAATAGGTTTATTAGTTCAATCTTTATCACCTGCAAAAAGGATAAAACTATCAAACTAGCACTCGAATCAAAATTCATTAATAAACAAATCTACGAGAACAATTACCAAATGCCTAATACTCACGAATTATTAGATAATGTCGCCTCGCAAATCTCAAATGATTCCACCGGAGAAGTTTGGTTTACCAAATTAGACTTAAAGAACGCCTATAGTCAATTTAGACATTTTTACCAGTGGCCAGTGCAATTTTAGCTTGGTAGGCGGACACACTACCGGCACATATCAATTTTTAACAGGCTTTTACGAACTTGGCAATGTGCCAAACGATTTTCAAGGAGTCATGGATTCAACTATCGGAAAAATTCCTCTTACAAGTTGTTAGCTTGATGACATTTTAGTCGCTTCCAAAAAAACTTGTACATAACACAAAAATTCCGTTTTAGACGATTACAATTTCGCAGTTGAATAGCCAAAATCAAATTTCTTTGAAAAAGAAACAGATTGGCTTGGATTTGAAAATAGGAATGGCTTCTCTAATGGACAAAAGCTAGGCCATCAAATACATTCAAATTCCGAAAAATCGAAAGGAATTGAGATCATTCTTTGGTTAATCAAATTAGTATATCAAGTTTGTCCCAAATTAAGCATCAATCGGAAGTCCTAAACAAGACTAAACAAGAAATCAATCTGGTCATGGAATGAAGAACACACGAGAAGATAAAAATAGCCAATCTTACTGAAAATACACATTTTGACGTCAAGCGAAATACGAGAGTAAAATAAGACGCATCCCGAAACGGATTTGGCGCTTCTCTGGAACAACTCCATGGTAAAGACTGGAAAACGGTCTCTTTTGCTTCAAAGTGTTTAAATCCGCACAAAAATAAAAACTTCACAAATGAATTGGATCTTCTGGTTTTTGTTTGGGTGGTAGAACACTAAAAGAGTTAACTTTACGGCTCAGAATTGAAATTATTACTGACCATAGAGCTCTCCGTTGGGCACTCTCACCCAATCATGGAAATAAAACATATCATAGTCGCTTAAAAAGATGTATTGATTGTCTTTTACTGTTTAATTTTACAATAAAACACTTAGCAGGGAAAGATATGGGTTTTACCGACTTAATTTTAAGATCCCCCTCAGCAATGCAATTCCCCCATCTCATTACGAGGAAGAATTATTAGTTGCTACAATCAAGAAAATTAACAGAGCTATGAATCCAACGGATCACGGAAAAATGATATGTAATGCCATTGATTCAAATTTGGAAATTTCCAATTACGCAAGATTACATAATTATGTTTTCATTTCGGTTCTTAGGTTCTTTAGTTCAACTGTTCCAATTTACGATCTAAAACATTGCAAAACTGAACTTTGTAATTCTAAGTTTTTTCCTTTGGATTTCTCCAATATTGATTTCACGAAGTTGTCTATCAAAACCTGCATTTTTATTTTTTTAAGTCTGAACTTTTTTAGCTTAATTACTAGTCCACAGGATTCTAAAATTATAAAAAAAAAACAGAAAAAATGTCTAATAATCAAATTGTAATTAAACCTTCTACTTACAGTATTCAAGTTACAGTTGAATTTCCCGTCTGGTCGAACACGAAAATTTAGTGACTAAACACCGAGAAAATTTGAAGCTGCCGGAACAATTTTTGAACTTAAATACGTTATTCAATGCTAAATTGGTTGCCCTAAAAACAGGGGAAGACCCAATAATGAGTCCAATCGTTGAAGCTATTCAAAACAGAGAAGATAAGATTAATGCCAATTCTCACTAATTAAACCAGTTCTTTAAAGATCTTCACGAATCCGATGAATTTTTATACATGTATGGAAAACTCGTAATCCCCTTCACCTTAAGAAACCCGGTTATGAAGACTTTACACGAAGCTCATCCAGGACAATCCGGCATGAAGTACCTCGCACAGTATATATGGTGGCCTCACATAAATAGTCAGGTTTACTTCCATGGGATAAACTGCTCCCAATGTACATTACAAAATGCGTCCGGTAAGAATACAAAAAGCGTTATCCCTAATACTCAAATCAGCGAATTGCCTCCCTTCTCTGAACCTAAGGAGGAAATAAATCTCAATTTTGCCGTCCATTGGATTCCAGTTGGGAAAAGAAAAAGTATCTTTTACTATGCATCTACAGATTCACAAAAATTCCATCGGCTAAGATAACATCTTCCACTTCTTCAAACACAGTAATCGAATTTCTTCAGGATTATTTAAAGCTTTGCGTCATTCCATTTTCTATCCGCGTTGATCACGCTTCTTGTTTTACTAATTTTGAAATTTTTTGCGACTCCATATTAATATTTTGTACAGTTGGCGACCATCGCTCTAACAATCTCGTAGAAAATTTTTTACAAATTGTAGAAATTAAATGTTTAGCTATGGCACTTGAACACCAAAAACCTACTTTACAACAAGATATCTCAAAAATTATTTGGAATATTTGTCCTTCCTTTCAATCAAAAACAAAATGTCCACCCTTCGCGATACATTTCAGTAGAAAACCTAATACGATCTGAAAACAACTGAGCTCTAATAATTTATCCGATGTAATTTTAGACAAAGCGAAATCCATCTTAAGCAAAGGACAGGCATTAGATTGGAAATCAGATGACCGGCTCGACGACGGATACAGAGTTATCATGATCCCTAAAAAACCAGTCCCCATTGGAGGAAGGGTACGAGTCGGCTATCCATCACCTTCGAAACCTTCTTCATATCGTTTGCCCCTACAAAGTCCTTTCAAAAGTAAAATACTTCGGAAAACCAAGGGAAGCATAACTGGAAATCTTTTCTACAAAGAACTCAACCAGAAAATTATCAGCGCTTCAAAAACTGCGATAGAACTATCCGACGAAAAGATCATCAAAAAGTCTGACATCTCACTTCCGAAATCAAATTCATCTACTACACGGTCTTTTAGAAGAAATATCTGTTTTCCATTACTCCCTAACCTTGATTTCGATGTAGGTTCAAAGAAGACGACCAAATCGAAACCACAACCGTTGAGAAAAGCAGGTCCGAAGACTAGAATGAAGACGGAGTTGGCTACTTATGACAACAACACAACGACGAGAGTGTCTAACCCTTCAACCAAGCCAACCAAAAGCAGACCAACACGCAACAAAGAACAGACATCAAACGAAGGTTACTCAGCATGTGACGAATCTATGATAATTGAATTGGACACATCAGGTATTAGGGATTGGGAGTGGATTGCGTTTTAGTATTAAAAAAAATCTCTTCAGCTTCCTTTAGAGGGAAAAATGGGCTTGTTACCTTTAATCTAGTTTGACTTCATATTTCCTATTGCGGGGAATGTTGTGAATTGCATTATTTTAATAAAACCTTTATAATTAATTTTTAGTTGTTATAACTGGTATTTAGTTTATGACCTTGATACATTCATTTTACCATCGGAGAGAATGCTCTCTCACTTTTTAATGTTTTAACTTTGAGATTAATTCACTTTTAACCGACATTTTTTCTGTACATAAGTAGAATTAGCTGTATCAAAGGAACATTTTATCACCCTCAGTCTGGTTCAAACCAAACCAAATTCATTTTGTTTTTGGAAAGGTAACTCATAAACCCCGTTACCAAAATCACCGCTTATTTGTACAGTCAAACTCAAAATTTCAAATAAAGAGATCCATCGAATCATATGAAAGAAAAACATAAGGTGGAAGAACTCTCATTTCTTCAGCAGACTACTCTGGTCGATCATATCGTCATTCGGTCCACTGTCCATTCTCTCTTCCTAGTTGGACACCCGAGTCGAGATTTTTCACCTAATTTGAAGCAAGATTTGAGCGGTTTGAGCGGTTTTTTTAGACAATAACGCTTAAAATCTTGCTTCAAAATGAGCGGTTTGAGCGGTTTTTGAACGGTTTATCTAAAAAAAACCGCTCAAAAACCGCGCAAGATTTGAGCGGTTTTTCAGCGTTTTTTTTTTAGAAAAACCGCTCAAAACCTTTCAAATCTTGCGCGGTTTTTTTAGATAAACCGTTCAAAAACCGCTCAAACCGCTCATTTTGAAGCAAGATTTTGAGCGTAATTGTCTAAAAAAACCGAAAGATTTCCAAACAAACCGCCCAAACCGCCCAAACCGCTCAAACCGCTCAAATCTTGCTGAAAAACCGCTCAAACCGCTCATATCTTGAGCGGTTTTTGAGCGGGATCTCGACCCGGGCAGAGCATGTCTGAGAGTTTTCAACTGAACGCGACTTAACAATCATTTTTCTTACTCTTTCAACTGCTGCTTTTTGTTAGGCAATGGAGCCACGGTTCCTGCAGAAGGTCCAGTGCAAACTGAAGTTAAGTTTTTTTGTTAAGTCTTCGTTCATTACATTCTAACGATACTCTCTGTCATCCCCAGGGGGTCATTTCACAGGCGTCCAGTCGTCAAAGCAACGTTATGATGAATAAAAAAAGATCTCTGAAAAAATCTTGGTCTCACCTATGTCTGCAACATTTCGTTGATTCAAATGCCCTTTCGACATGAGATCTTTGACCCATTCATATTTCCAAGATATCAACACAAATGGACTCTAAAGCGTGTACCGAACTTTGGACCAGATCTGCTTTAGACCGACTTTAGACCGACAAATTCGAATTCATGTCGTAGAGGATATCATGTAGATCATTCGCGAAAGATGACTATAGCTTCGTGGGTTTGTGTGCATCTTCTTTCATCGTCTCATTGCCAGCGAGGATGCTACTACAAAAATGGACACTTCTTTTTTTATGCAGCAAGCGAAGAGATAACTCGGTCAAAAACCACACTAAGTCTAGCACCTTCCTTTATCGACATTTTCTGAGCTATACAATGATTTGATACATATCCAAGAGTCAAATTCGTATATCGTAGACTCCGCATGATGATGCTTCCAACAAGGGTTCTAGATTCATGATACGCAGATGAATCTCATCTTTTTCGTCAGCCACAGGAAAATTGCTTGACAGAGATCATCATCCCTTCCGCTCGTCAAACTAAGTCAAACCGCAATTTTTTTCGACCTTGAAGAAGTCCTCATTTATCTATTGCGAATCTCTTGGAGACTTGACGACGATCGCAACTAACAGTTTACGGAGTAGGTGCAATTTCAGCCTCCAAGCCTCATTTCCAGTTCTTGGTGATCTACTGCTCAAATGGTAACTTCATATTGCCAACCGTAAATATTCTTGATTGCCTTCAGATGTGCTACCGAACTGATCATCGAAAAGACTCCCAGAGTGGATGCCACATTAATCCTTGTACCCGCATTGCCTGTTCCCTTAATCTCATGATCAATTCGTTGCCTCTAAGACTAGTTTTCAAAGCAAGTTAGTACCTCGCGACGACAGAGTCGCAGCATACGCACGAAAGCGTTGCCAACGCAGATAATTAGTTCCAAAAATTTCATCTAGACCTTTTCACTTCAGTGTGTTCAGATATTCACTCTTCGCATCCTTCTGTAACTCTAAACTCTTGTTTGCTAACCTTCTGCTCTCGCTTCAATTTTATCTCCTCTGGTACAGTTTGTCATATGACTTCCTTTTAATTTTTGCTGGATGACTCCCTAAATTTGCTGCTATCCGTTTTTTTCTTCTGATTCTCTTCCTTCTCGTCAACGGCTGCAGCGATGGCGAATCCTTACTCATCCTGCGGCACAATAATGACCAAGACTTAGAAAACCACCTGCTGAGCTCCTCTCGGTTTCGCGGCATCCTGATTTCATACATCCTTTCCATAAATCCTGTCAGGCAGCAGTTGGACAAAACTGACGATCGGTTCTTGCGAGCATCAGCCCTCGTTCTCATCTCCTGGTCAAAAAACGAGCAAATCCCTCACGGCCGATCAAGTATCTGATATATCTTCTTTCGGTTCGCCTCCGATCTTATTTAAGTGCTAATATGGCTCTCCTCTTCATATCTCCTCAAAGAGCCGGTCTTTTAAAAGAAATTTTTCATTGCCTATGCGAAATAAAAGTGATCAAATGGCTCATAGAACCCACAAGTTCCAAAGTTGTTCCTCCACAGCCCCATTACTGACATCAACAGACGATTCATGTCATGCTTCTCGCAGCTGTGCCAAGGCAGATCCAGAGAGTCCACCTCGGTTTTGCCGGCTCTTAGCATTTCAACTCCACCACTTCTCGCAAAGACTTTACTTCAAACTCTCCCACCACTGCAATCACCACCCTGTCACGTTTGTTATCTTTGAATTTAGCTATTTTATAGCCCTCCAAAGTTATTGGGCCTGCCAATATTGACCAACGGCACGAATATTCTTGTTCCTCAGAGACCACAGTTGTCATCGACAAATTTTCAGCATGCGAACTGCAGCGTTCTCGAAGAATAATTACCAGAGGGACAAATGTTTTTTGGGCGAATGCCTTCTTCTCAAGTTGTATTGAGCTTCCATAGTAGTCCAAATCTAGATCGTTTTTTTTTGTGGATGAAAATTTTCCATATAATATCCATTGCATGGCGTTCGTCTTTAGATGATGTTTCTTTGGGTAAAGCGCCGTACGATTCCATTCCTCAGGTGTTGACCAGGTGTTCTGAAAGGTCTGCGTCATCCAAAGATTCTGATTCATGGGTTGAGGAGGCGCTGAAGACATTTCTTACTAACAAGTCTGCAGTTGGACCTCCAGTGATCTATACAAGGGATGTTGCGAATGCTCGAGCGGCAGTGTCAATTGATAACTTACGTTGTCATAATAAGGTCGATGTTGTCTGTTCCAAGGAAAAATTAGATCTGATTGTTATCAAAGTACGGAAACGTGAATGTGGAATTTTTCGTTGAGAGTTCCAAAAGGACGAACAGTCAATTCGGTTGATCGGGCTACTTGAACACTCGTGAATTTTCATTCAGTAGATTGACTTTCTTCTATTTGTAGGTAATCGGCCGCTGATTGCAGTTAATTGCTGGAACAGCTGTCTTAGAAAGCTTAAGTGTTGATGTACGGTGGCATATTACACATTTTCACTTGGAGGGGTTGTTAATTCGATCGATTGGCGTCGGGATACTGGAAACCGTCAATGAATTTTTATTCTGTAGATTGGCTTTCTTCTAATTGTACGTAATCGGCTGATGATTGCAATTAATTGTTGGACCCGTTGTCTAGAAAGGCGTAAATGTTGATGTACTGGGGCATGTTACACATTTTCACTTGCAGTTTTTTTTACCACGTGTTGTCCCAATAATTTGAGTCAAATGCTTTTCATTATCATGAGTTTTGGTTTTGCTTTGTTGGACAGGTTTTGGTTTTGCTTTATTCTGTTTCATGGGTTGAGGAGGCACAGCAGATTCAAGTTTAATCGACAAATCACATTATACTTGACACCAGGACAACCTGTTTTTTGTTTGCAGCCAGGACAACCACACTTGTCCGAATAAGAAGAATGGTTGTCCTGGTTGCAAAATGCGCTAATATTGAATTAATTTGATGCGCAAATTGAATTCCTTTGTTGTGGGCTGAAAATGTATCCTTGTTTTTCTGGTTAGATTCAGTCGAGATACAAAGATCACGTGAGTGTTTTGCGTATATTAGAGTCGTCTGCTTCAGGATTTGATTTCGGATTCATCGTTAAAAAGTGCAAGATTTTGCTGATATGAGCCGTTAGTTACAAGATAACGGGTAGATTATAGTATTTCATTGTAAAGGAGCTTGTTGATTACAAACCCTATGTAGTTGGTCGATTTGCGAGTACTGTTGCGAAACCAAGAGTTTTCACAAGGTTGATAACGAAAGAGGTAAAACTTGTTATGAGTCGATGGCGATCGAAAGTTTCGTAGTTCTCTGATGAAGTTGTTGGCAATGATGTCAGGTCGTCACCAGATTTGTTTTTTTTTACAGAAATTAGTCTGAAATGAAGTTCCATTTGCTGGTTGAAGTTGCTTTGCTGTGTAAAGCTGATGGATGTTGTTGATGCAGTGGTTGTTGCTGGATAAAAACTGTTGATGACTTGAAGGCAGATGCGGGTGGTCTAGTAGTTGATTTACAAACTGGTCTTCAACATAATGAAACCTTTTTTCGACAAACTCTAAAGCTGCAACTCCAATCAGCAAGCAATCCATTTTTTATGCACTGCTTCGATATTATGACAAAAAGTGACAGAAATTAGATTCAAATCAATGACAAAAAGTGTGTTTTAAACAGTTTAATGAAATCGCTTTTGATTTAGGCACCCTGATTTACATGCTGGATCCTATGATTGATTTATGGAAAGCTGGAAAACTTTGTTTCAGCCTTTGTAGTACAAATAAGTGTGCGGTGCTATTTGTAATTCCTAAAATCTTCTCAAACCTGTAAGAAAGAGGGTTTTTGTAGTTTGCAAAGGATGTGAGATCCAACATGTTTGTGAAATTGTAGAACTACAAATTTTCCAAGAAATCCAAATAGTTTGAAACGTTTTTGAAAGCGAAAAACGATAGTAGTCTTAGTTATCATGAAAAAGATAGCCATTTTAGTGGTCACAACGATAGTCGTCTTAGTGATTAGCCCGACATTATTTTTTATGGTTTTGAGTTTTTCATTTTGATTATAATACTTGCTGTCAGCAACTTTCAAAACTTAATCAATTGAATGATTTTAGAAGAACTAGGTTTTTGCTGCTTTTTCTAGGAACGTGAATTCAAGTTTAAGCTCAAGTAATTGACAACGAAGTACAGTGGGTAAAATTTTCTAGTTGTTAGGACAATGGTGTTTATTTGTTCCGATCATTTGAATTTAGTTTTGAGGTGTTTTAGATGTTTTTTTTTCTTTTTTTTTCTGTTTTTCTTAGTTCCCACGCAAAACCAAAATCCACAATTAATTATTGGTAAGAGTCGAGCGATATAACAAACTGAAGCTGTTTTAGCCGTGATTTGAACAAAATTAAAAAAAATTCTTTTGTTCTTCCAGTATTGAGGAAAACTGGTTTAAAATTTTTGATTTTTAGTTGAATTTCGATCGAATAAATCTATCAAGCAGCCTTACAATAGCTTCTCAAAAATTTGAAACGAGCAGCCTTACAAAAGCTTCTCAGCTGAAAATCAAAAACTTTAAACCAGTTTTCCTCAATACTGGAAGAACTAATGAAATTTTTTAATTTTTGTTCGAATCACGACTAAAACAGCTTCAGTTTGTTATTCCTTCAGCTTTATTAAGGCCCTAAAAAATTACTTTAAATAAATAAAATAATCTTGGAATTTTGGGCGCCATTGTTGGAGCAAATCTTCAAAAAAAGTGAAATTTTTCTGCAAAAAAATTTTGAAAAAAAATTGAAATTTTTTAAATTTTTTTTGATTGTTTTGTTTTTCTAGTCAGATTCTGTTTCACACCACACAGAAAAAACACATCATTAACTTGAAAAAAAAAAAACTTGGTTTTTTGTTGTTTCTTAAAGACTATGGTGGGAACATTCTGTGCGACTTGCACCATTCTCGGATATTCTTGATATTTACCAATTTCAAGTTTTTTGGAAACCCGCCTAAAAAAAATTAGGTTCACCCGGCCAGCGTCTATAAATCTAAGCAATTTAGATGCACCGTCGAAGGCAAAATGTGCAAGTAAAGGTAATAATAATCGGCTATTACCAATTAAAAATTATTATTTTTTCATGATTAATGGAATAAATGTTATAATTTTTATTGGCTATAAATTTCTGGAAAATCTGATGGAATAATAATTGTTCATTTTCAATTAAAATGGTCTATAATTGCTTATAATTTATTTTGAAAGAGAATTTATAACCAAATAATAATTGATATTTTTTCTCAATTTAGGAAATACCTGATTTATAATATATTTGGTTATTAACGGTTGAAACCATTCTTTTTTTACAATTCACTATGGAAACCTGATATAATCTCATCACCTAAGTAAAAACTATCAAGAACAAATTCATTACACGTAGCTCCTGTTTCGAAGAAAGCGTTGGCGTGGACTGACGCAAATACCCCACACGTTTGATACGCCATCATGCAAAGTAGTTTGAACTCTTTTGGTATTTCGGATGAGGATGCGATGACGTAACTTTGAGCTTCCAGACTAACAACTAGCCCGGGAAGAATTGTAACTGATCGGCCTAGCTTGGATCCAACTGCACATGCTTGCAGGGCAAAATCTGAAACATGGGTTTGAAAAAAATAGGTGGCTAAGTGACTGGGTTTCCTTGCGGCCGAAAAAATGCCGAGCAAAAATGCACAATTTACGCTATGCGGAGCAAAGGGCAAGTGGCTTAGATCCCGGCAACCAATCAGGCAAAAGGTCGGTGGATCGACACGCAAGTCCCACCATTACCTTTTCTTACGTCCCACCATTTCGCCCCGTAGGAAAAAACATACACTCATTTTTTGTATATGAATTTTGTAAGCATAATAATTTTAAGCATAATAATTGAATTAATTTCATAAAATTCAGATGTTTTTGACAAATTGCTATTAGACACAATATGTCTCTTTTCAGGCGTCTAGCGTTTCAAATTTTCGCATAACAATTTTCATGTGCTCTTAAAATCTTAGATTTTTTAAACTCAATTTTCTTCTGGCAATTCAATTGATTGGTGGTATTTTGGATGTCATTGGGTTGTTATATTACGTAATATAGATATTTATATGAAAATCAGTTAGGAGTTAATAGATCTTAAGCTAACAAATGACTTTCACTCGTACAAAAATTGAAGCTTGGAATCTCTTTGGATTTTTCACTAATCAGTAATAAGCGCATCATTACCCGAAATTTAGCCCGCACCGAAGTTTCCCTGATTATTATCTATTATCTGGCAATTTTGTGGTCGAACAAAAAATTGTTCTTTTAATAATCAATTATCTGGTGATTTCGTGGTCGCAGAGTAGAATAATCGATTATATGGAGAAAAAAATCCATTAACGAACTTAAATTTTATGTCGATTATATTGGAATTATAATAGATTATAATAGATTCCCGCAAGGAGCGCCCATGGATCATAATCGATTATATTGTCTTAATATGGTCCGCAATAAAATGACAAAATAATCGATTATAATCCATTAAAAATGGATTTTAATCCTAATTTTTTTTGTCAATATAATCCATTATAATCAATTTTAATCAATTATAATGGATTTTTTCGAGGGGTTGCCGAGCAAAAATGCCGAGCAAAAATGCACAATTTACGCTATGCGGAGCAAAGGGCAAGTGGCTTAGATCCCGGCAACCAATCAGGCAAAAGGTCGGTGGATCGACACACAAGTCCCACCATTACCTTTTCTTACGTCCCACCATTTCGCCCCGTAGGAAAAAACATACACTCATTTTTTGTATATGAATTTTGTAAGCATAATAATTTTAAGCATAATAATTGAATTAATTTCATAAAATTCAGATGTTTTTGACAAATTGCTATTAGACACGATATGTCTCTTTTCAGGCGTCTAGCGTTTCAAATTTTCGCATAACAATTTTCATGTGCTCTTAAAATCTTAGATTTTTTAAACTCAATTTTCTTCTGGCAATTCAATTGATTGGTGGTATTTTGGATGTCATTGGGTTGTTATAGTACGTAATATAGATATTTATATGAAAATCGGTTAGGAGTTATTAGATCTTAAGCTAACAAATGACTTTCACTCGTACAAAAATTGAAGCTTGGAATCTCTTTGGATTTTTCACTAATCAGTAATAAGCGCATTAATACCCGAAATTTAGCCCGCACCGAAGTTTCCCTGATTATTATCTATTATCTGGCAATTTTGTGGTCGAACAAAAAATTGTTCTTTTAATAATCAATTATCTGGTGATTTCGTGGTCGCAGAGTAGAATAATCGATTATATGGAGAAAAAAATCCATTAACGAACTTTAATTTTATGTCGATTATATTGGAATTATAATAGATTATAATAGATTCCCGCAAGGAGCGCCCATGGATCATAATCGATTATATTGTCATAATATGTCCGCAATAAAATGACAAAATAATCGATTATAATCCATTAAAAATGGATTTTAATCCTAATTTTTTTTGTCAATATAATCCATTATAATCAATTTTAATCAATTATAATGGATTTTTTCGAGGGGTTATTCATGAAATTTACAATTTATTTAAAGTTATCTTAATTCCTGTTTAGTGCAGTGGCTACGTATTACGTTTCATAAAATGATACATTTCAGAACTAAATTTCTATACCTTTTGGTCTCTGTTTTTAAATTCATTGCAATTTAACACTTCATTTTACTGTTTTTTTACCAACCCCCACCCCCCCCCCCCCCAGTTTACGCCCCTCCCACTATTTACCCTTACCCTCCCCCAAGTTTACCACTTTATCCTCCCCCCTCCGGTTTATTTACCCATCCCCCCGGTTATGCCCCCCCCCCTAGTTTACCCTACCCCTTCAGCTGGAGGGGTGGTAAAAAGCTTGAGGGGCCGAAGGGATGACGTTGAGACATTCCCGCAAAATTTGCAACAATTTGCAAAAATAATCGCATTTAGTTCAAAAAATGAAATGAATTATAATCAATTGTAATGAATTATACTGGATTTTTATTTCATATGCTTTTAGCATATGCTTTTAAGAAGAGAAAAAGTCAGACAATAAAATCCATTTTTTTGACAACATAATTGATGTTATGGGTCCTAGATTGTTCCGCAATTTTATGGCGATAGCAATAGTTTTTGTTGCAATTTTTTGGCAGTTTTATGGCGAATCCAATAGACTTTATTGCGATTTTATGGCAACTTCAAGGCGAAAAAAATAGATTTTGTTGAGATTATGTGGAGATAAAAAACATTTTAGTGGAAATATAAGGCAATATAATCTTCATGAAAATAATCTATTTTCTTTCTATTAAAATAGAAAATGTTGCTTAAATTGGTTACACATAATCGATTGTAATGGCAACTTTTTCCGCAACATTTTCTCAATATAATCTATTTTTATCCGAGAAACTTCAGTGCGGGAGTTCTTTCATACATGTTAGTCAACCTGTGCAACTCAGTACAAGGTACTTTTGTTGAATAAAGAAGGAAAATCAAAGCTGGAAAAGGACTTAAAACTGAACAGTCTTCTTATTCTGAAAACATTGAAAGTTTATTAGAATTAAGGTAATGTGTTTGAGAATTCAGTCTTCGTCTCGTGATCTCAGTAATTGCAGCATAATTTTATAGTTATTTATGAACTCTGAAGGGTAATTTTTTCTCAACACTTTATGTAATAGTTTCAGTAAATCAATTCAAAAACATAGATCTTTTTGCAGCACCAAAATATATGTTGAATATTAATATGTTTGATTCAATGACTGCTATTGTTAACAAAACCTATTTTTATTAAATATGAAATGACTAAATGTTTTTTTCAACGAATTTCACATGATTTTGTCTCTAGCATCATAGGTAATTACGCCGTACTGCACAATTGGTTTAACAGATTTCTTGCACTAAAATCAACGTGTTTTTAAACCCTTCCTAATTTGGCAAAACGAATATCCCGTTTCGCCCCACATACATTTTGTCCCTCTTAAATCTAGTGGCACAATTCGCCCCTCACACATTTCGCCCCTAACTTATTACACAATTAACGCCGCTTTCTTAAAGTGCCAGTAATTTATGAGGGGCGAAATGTGTGAGGGGCAAAAAGTGCCACTAGATTTAGGAGGGGCGAAATGTGTGAATACTTGGCAAAACATCCCGCAAAATCTGTTTAACTTAGCTTGAACCTCGTTTACATGTCTTTCATTGCTTTTTTGCTGTAAGTGTAAGCGTCCAAATCGATCAAAGAGTTCGGATCAAGGTAGATTTTTACATTTTCTTGCAGGAAGCGGAGTCTGTAGCCGTAATAGCTACCGCATTTTTGATCTTGCCAAGTACTCTATGCTCATTTGATACAAGTATTCAACCTAACCAGTGCAAAACGCCAAGAAAAAGTGTTACTCGCTGATGAGTTTGCATGTATCTTTGAAATTCTTCAAAAAATTGAAGTTACCGAGAGTTGATGTTAGATTGAACTTACTCCTTGCCGTTTGATTTTTGACGTATCGCATGAACCAGAAAATGTCAGATGGGCTTATTTCTTGTCTCCTGGAAATGTCATTCAAGTTCATCTGAAACAAATTTCAGTAGAAAAAAAACAGCAGTTTTTTTGTGTTTTTAGATGTTTTTTGAAAATTATGCTCGACCTTGTCAAGTCTGCCAGTGCAGAATGCTCTGATCTGATGAAATCCTATATAGATTACCTTTTGCAAAATGTTTTGTGCCGCAGCCATTTTTTTGGAAACAAGTGCCAATTTCTGCATTTTTAAATTGTTTTTAACCAAATATTGCAATTTTTTGTTATAAATTTTGACCATATATTGCAAATTTAGGGATCAAGTTAACATCCTCTTTTCGGGTTAAATTTGCTACGCGTCACACGTAAAATGCTCAATTTTGATTGGCTGATAATTCCCACTTAGAACCAAGTCAACGTCCCCCTCAAACTACTTTGGGGGGAAGGATCTTAGCTTGGTCCAAATTAAATATACATTGCCGCTGAAACAATCACGTTTAGAAAATTTTCGTGGTTGGTCGGCCAGAAACGGCCGTCGTGAGTTGGAACCAAAAGAAAGGAAACATTTGACAACCAGAATCTAACCTGATCAATTTCTGCATCTTTATCACACTTCCTTGAGTGCTTCGCATCTTCTATCCAGCACTGACCCGAATAAGCTTGAATGAGACCCCGTATAATCCAGTCTGTGAAACCAAATCCGGCAATCACTTTCTTCGGGGCCATGCAAATTGTTTCTTCAATTCCAGAATAATGAGAATTGTCTTTTTCGTGATTGAAGGTGTCGTAATATTTTTTATCTGCAAAAGCCAAAAGAAACTAACTCGTATTTTTCTTTCGTAATTTTGCTAATTCTTATCGTTTAAAGACGTTCAAGATAAAAGCATAAGAAAGTTCACAAAAAAAATAAATGACTAGCTGTCTCGAGTTCCACGCTTAGTAACCATTTATAATAAGATCAAAGTATCGGTGTCCAAAAAAATTCTGAAAAATCTATTGCGATTAAAGCTGAAATAATTTAAATGCTCATTCATCATTCGAGTAGTTAAATAAGTGTTCAGTAAAATTATGTAAAAATACCTTTGCAGCATTTTCTTAGAGCATCTATCGAAAATTCTTCTGAAATCAAATTCCTCGGGAATGGAACAAATTTCAGCAAATTTGGTAAACGATTGGCATTGTCGTTTCTAAAATCGCTGCATTGTTCGTGAAGCTTCATCCATGATGTTTTGAGTTCACGAAAGTGCACCGTGCCTGAATAAAAAGTTCTCCTTTGAAGCCACGTGAAGTTTTTGCACTTTGTATACCACGTTTTTTCGTCAGTCGTGAAATAAGGATTCGGTTTGAACATGTCGAAATGTTCCAGGGGATAAAAACCTAGAAAGATTTAAAAAAGTCTGAACAAAAAATTAACATCCTGAAGAACAAAACTTTTTTTATATCTTTTTTAGCAACTTAACATCCATTTTTTCAGTGTACAAAACTAAAATTTATTTTCAATCGGTCCCTTGTCAATCAAAAAATATATATAATTACATTTGTTGAGACAAGCTTGTTCAATGTATTGGATTGTTGGCGTTAAGTCCTCCAAGAAATAGTCGAATATGTTGCTATCTTTCAAGAGTTCCAGAAACTGCGCGTTGCAAAGTGATTTGTATCTGTAAAGCTCTATGACTTCGCGGAATGCATGCAATCTCTCCTTGTTTTCTGAAACGTATTAGTTATGTGTGTTCTTCCAAAATGGGATGGGAATTTTTTGAAAAATGTGTGTGAATTTTAAACAAATTGTTTCATTCTCGAAAAAATGTTAATTAAACATGTTCATCCCCAAAAAAATAGCAATTTCTTGCAGAAAATCCAAACTATAGCGAGGACTTTTATTGTTAACAAAAAGCTGAAAGGTTTTTAAATTAGCGGACCATTTTGTTTAGGACTTCACCTTTTAAGTCCAGTGCGCATAACTTCAGATCTTTTAGATGATACATTGGGTTGATGCAAGTTCCATGTTTCGAGATCTCCGGGTTGCAATTGTACGCATGTTTGAAATCATCGATCGAAACTTTCTCGGCTCCTGCGAACAAGCTACTGGTCGTTACTTTGTCGTATTCACAATTGCACGCTTTGAATACCTGCGACTCTAAAGTGTCCACTCTAATTTGAAATACGTTTAGAAACTGGTGAAGAAGTTTCTCAGAGCAGTTCTGAACCAGGTTTTCAGCTGAAAACAAAAAAAAAATTAATTTTGCCAAGATCAAGAAAAAAATGACGTATTTCAAATTATATCGTTGCTGGACAAATTTACGGCAACATTGGCCCACTCATAATTAGAATTTAAAATGATTTTATGTAGACCTTAATGAGGGCAACAACAGTGGTTCTCTGCAAATTGTTACCTGGGTTGACGTCCCAGTGCAAATCAGTACTGCTTCCAACAAAATAATGTTCATTTTCCTCAAGCCAAAAACTTATAACCAAATATGTAATGAAATTGTATTATTAGCAATGTTCAGAAATGCAAGTTCTGTAACATAGCACCATCATAGACAGCTACGAGAAACTCTGTTCATTGACTCAAACGATAATTAATTTTACAGTGCTTGATCAGTAATCAGAAAGAGTTTATCAGGGTTCAGTCTCTTATGTTGGTTCATTCCGTTGAGGATGAATGATCCTAAAGGGTTTCTCAATAACAAATTTTAAATTTTGTTTCTAATATTTTCAAACTCGAACCAAAAAAGTATGCCCTTCTCAAAAGCACAGCTAAATCTAAACATATTCTTGATTGGGCGCCTTAAAATTTTTAAAAACGAAGCAAACTAGCTTCATATTTTTAATAATGAAAGCATAACCAAAAACCTGAAGAGAAAAATTTTATCAAAGTGAAAAAATTACCATTGTTTGATTGGCACGCATGAACAAAACATTTGATAGGTTCTGTCAGAACAGAAAGAGCAGAGAACGAATCTAATTCGTGAACATTTTCCGGGCATCCGTTTTTGACGGAGGGATTTTGCTTGCATTCGGGAGCCCAGTAGGAAAATTGTGACATGGTGTTTATAACTTCTGATGACGGGAGGCGGAGGCAGATTTCAGGTGGGAAGGATCCTAGAAACGAACGAAGAATATATGAGTTAGAAAAAAAAGATATATAAGAGCATGGCCATTAGCAAGAAAGTGCAAAAATTGTTTAAAATGGAAGCCGATAAAGAGTAATAATTCTTGGAAGCTTTGTCGCTATACCATATTCGAAAATCAGCAAAGTGAAATTTTGCCGAAAGTTTATTAAATTGTCAGTTTTGATAAGTTTACTAATAGTTCTATTCACGTTTCGATGCAGATTTTTTTTGGTTAGCGTTGGTGTGCTTTTTAGGTCGACCTTAAAAAAACGGACAATTTTTTTATATATCTTTGAAAAACCTTTTTTATTCCTCAAGAAAATGCATCCTCCCCCTGACAATTGGTCTTTCTCTGAAAAAATGTCAAAAAAAGTATCTAACACACCTGAAGATGATGACTGAAATGCTGCTACAATACTCATCATGAAACAAATTGCCAAAACCATGATACTAATTCACAGAGAGCAAAATAAAGCAGATAGATAGTTTGATGATAATTAAATAGTTTTTCTGTTCCAAAACATCATAAAAGATATGATTGTTATCTTGCACAATGCGCCATATGGATTGATGCTATGGTTTATGGATTTGTAGTTGTACTTGGATTGAGAGAAATCCATGGTTCATTAGCCTCAATTGATTCGGGGTCACGACTCAGTGCTCAAATATATATTTTAAAACCAGTTCTTCTTCTTTTTCTTGTAAAAAAATACCTTGGTCATGGCTTTTGCGAGACCAGAAACACCATTGAACACGTATGCATGTTTTAATGAGTTAGGAGAATCATTTTATCAAAAAATCCTACTGTAGTCCAAGCTTGTTTACCTAATCAATCGAAAACGAATTATCAGGAAAAAAGCTATTCACTAAAACGACGGACCAGTTTTTCCTTAAAAAATTTGAAGCAGCAACGGGCCTGACTTTAATTCTTACAATTTTTTCGTGAAATTTTTCATAAAGACTAGTTGGAATTTGCATAAAGTGCTTAAAATACGTTATAGGTTGAAATATTCAAGTTTATAATATCTGTTAACCGCAAAATGCTTTCGTCATCCAAAAATAAAAAAAAATAACAAATTGGTTAAATATTACAACCATTTTAACAACCCTGCATTGTTAGTAATTTCTTAAAACTTTTCAATTGAAAAGAAATGCTCTTGAAGATATCGAAACAGAAATATTCTGTGCACTTTACTAGTTATTAGAAGTATAACTTTTGATTGAGTCCCATTTTATACAGTATTGCAGTATTATCAAAAAAATGCATCAGTAAAAAATATTCTTCGAAACTGACTTCTTCATCTTTCGTATTCGAATCAAAGACGCCAATGCTGTTTTGCGTAATCATCAGAAGGTCAAAACTTATCACGGTAGACAAAAAAGCATGAAAAGGCCTTCATTGTATGGCCCAATCAGAAAACAAACTTTTTGAGCTATTAGTTGAGGAAAATATTGATACAAGGAAATTATATGATAAAATACACAAAAGACTCCAAAAAAACATTTGTCGAGAAATTTTTTTCCGAAAAAACCCATTAAATTTCAAAAAAGTCTTTCCGTGTATTTCTGGTCCGCTCACCAGCTGGATAGGAAGAGTTTCTTAATGTTTTTTTAAACGTTTAATTGTTTCGATTAAAATAACTAAAACTTAAAAAACAACTGCGAAGTTTGAAAAGTTGCTTGCAGCAAGTCTACCAACAAAAGAGGAAAAAGGTTTGAAAACCAATCGAGTTGTTTCATCATTATTCGAAACCTCAATCAATATAAAGACTTCTTCAAATTTGGCAAAATCAGTTTAAAGTTTAAATTAGTCTAAGTGTTATGAGAATTTTTTAAACAATTCATCTTCACTCTGATTGACATGTAAGCGGTTTACAGACAGGTTCATCCAATTGAACGCACAATCGACTTCTCTACTGGCTGCTACGCCGAGTACAATCAAAATCTACAGCGAGCGCAAATCTATAAAAAAAATCTCAGCAGAAATTGACACAAATTTGAATAACGAACACATAGAAAAAAAATTAAACCATCTCATCCGACTCTTACCAAATTAACATACAAAGAATCTAGTGCACAAACAGGACCAACCATTTTTTGTTACTAATGAAATTCATAAGGAAATTTTTACATTTGAAATGGCGATCGTTTGATTCGATCAATGATTATAGAGAAACTAAGTTTTTAAAGTCAGGAAATTTTTTTTACATTTGAAATGGCGATTGTTTGATTCGATCAATGATTATAGAGATACTAAGATTTTAATGACAAGTCTTTGCTTAGGAAATCTTTTGGTATGCTATTGAAGAAAAATTAAAAAAAAAACACATCATTAAAATATAAAATTCTTTGCATCAATGTAATAAATCTAATAAATCCAGTTCAAAGTTTCCGATTACATTCAAACAAGTGCATTATGTGCCAGTAGTTTTTGCAAAAATCTAAAAAAAAACACGCATTTTTCTAAGTGCTCTGTGATTTGGGCTTAAGAATATCTCGTCTCTCAAAAAATGATTTCAAAAAGCATGAAAAGTACAAGATCCTAGTGAGTATCAGATGTTTAGTTCTTGTAGTATATCAGAAATTTGCATTGTTGTTACAGGCTGACAACTGAAGGCTTGTGATTTACTGAAAACAAAGTCACTCAAGGTTGATGGCTTCAATTATTATAATTAAAGTTGCGGATGAACCTCACGGTAGAAAATACAGTATTGCAGTTTGAAACAATTTCTAATTGAGACCAGCAACAGCTTCACAGGACGAATAACTAGCAACCAGACGGTTTGGCGCGTCTCCCATGGACTGTTGGTAGGCAGCTTTTGGTTGAATTTTTGAGTTTTTCAACTCGCAATAGAATATCAGTGTTGCGTATTTGATCTCCAGTTTTTTCCCTAAATCCATAATAAAGCTGCAGTATCTTTTCTACAACGTTTTCTTCATCTTGACATTAAATCCACTACATCCAGAGTTTCTGAGAAAACAATACAGACGCTTCAAATCAATTTGAATATCAAAACAATTAGTCTAGGTGTTATGAGAATTTTTTTTTAAAATTCATCTTCACTTTGATTGACATTGTTCGCTTGCAGGAAGAAGGCCCAGGTTAGCGTTTTACAGACGCGTTTTTTAAATTGACACCCACAATCGACTTCTCTACTGGCTGCTACGCCGAGTACAATCGAAATCTATAGCGAGTGCAAATCTATAAAAAAAACTAAGCAAAAATTGACACAAATTTGAATAACAAACACAATGAAAAAAAAACCATCTCATCAAACTCGTACCAATTTAACATACAAAGAATCAAGTGCACAAACAGGACCAATTTTTTGTTACTAATGAAAGTCATAAGGAAATTTTTACATTTGAAATGGCGATCGTTTGATTCGATCAATGATAATAGAGAAACTAAGTTTTTAAAGTCAGGAAAATTTTTTCACTTTCGAAATGGCGCTCGCTTGATTCGATCGATGACTATAGAGAAACTAAGTTTTTATTGACAATTCTTTGCTCACGAAATCTTTTTGTAAGCGATTGAAGAAAAATAAAAAAAAACACTTCAAAACAATATAAAATTTTTTGCATCAATGTAATAAATCTAATAAAACTATTTCAAAGTATCAGATTACATCTAGACAAATGCATTATGCAAAAGTCAAATAAAAAAGAAGTCTTTTTTCGATGTTTTTTCAAGTGTTCTGTAATTTGAAATAACCATAGTGTAACTTCATCAAGCGAATCATTATCAGTATCAAAAACAAGCTAAGCTAGATGTTGTGCGTTGTTTTCTAAACAGTTCACTTCGATAGTCACAGCTCGCTTGTAAGAAGAAGGCAGAGGACGGGGTTTCATAGACAGGCTCAACGAATTGACCCCTACATTTGAACTCTCTATTGGATGCTGCATCGGGTAAACTCACGCTGAAAACTCAACACAAAAAAATCAAACAAGATCACATATGATACAGCCTCTTTTTTCTCTTCAATTATCTCATTTTTTAGTGAAAAACCGTGCCGAATTAAACTCTAAGGGTGCTACACCGATTATGCATGAGATTGGAGTTAGGAACGTCTAAGGACAAAAAACTCCAGCTCTAACGATGCTGACGCCACTGTGCACTAGAAGAGAGGAGTAAATTCTGCTGATAATACCGCTGCTGTTTTGCAATAACCCTCGCAGAACTCTAAACTGTCATAGCAGGCAGTATTTTTTGACAACTATTGGAAAGTTTTGATTAACTTAGTATTGCAAAAATTCAAAAAAAAAGGTTAAACAATTCCTAGAAAAATCTCCGCCGCCAATCATCAGCTCAATGATATAATTACCCTGGCGATATAATTACTTGACTTTTTCTGTAAACAATTTTGTTCAAAGAAAAGTCAAATAGTAATCAGTATATTTTATAGCCATTGGTTTACACGCATCGTTAGTTAGTAGCATCGTTACTGTTTTGACCTTGTGTTTACGGTAAGAGTTTATTTTTAAAATTTTATCAGACTCAAAATTTTTTGGTAGAATTTTGTCACTGAAATCGTTCGGTTGTAAATCTGTCGGCCTTAATTACTTCAATTTTTTTATTATATAAATTATAATTATTTTACAACAATTGTTCTCCCAGGGGAATTTCTCAAAAATCTAAATCACCCTTTTAAGTCCTCAGAAAAATAAACATGGAGAATGTCAAAATTGTCTTGAAAAAACTGGCTTTCAATCAAACATTTTGTTTTCTACAATTTCTACAATAAATATTTGAAGATTGATAATACTCTCCTCCACGTTTCTAAAAATTCAAAATCAACCTCTAACCTTTAACAAAAACAAATCAACCTTTAAAATCAAAATCAACCTCTAACCTTTAACAAAAACAAATCAACCTTTAACAAAAACCAAGGATTTTAATCTTGAAATTTCTCTTATTTTATGAAAGCAAAAATTTTGTTCTTCTTCTTGTTCCTCTTTCAAATTGTTCTTCGCTTGAAGTCTTGTTCACTACTTCTTGAGCTTAATGCTGTTTTAATGCTATAGTTTTTTTATCGCAACTCTTGAGAAGCTCAGCTTCGCCTCTGTGTATAAAATTTCTTGCTTTAACTTAGAAATACGTTTTTTTTGCCTTATCAATGTTTTCACCATCCTAGAAGTCAGAAAACTTAACACAATTTAAACCTAAACTTGGTTGCAAGTATCTTTTGCAAAGATGATGTGATTTTTTCCTTTCACAGCCGAAAAAGTTTATGAATTTTTGCTTGCCCTTGTAATCTGATTAGACTCCTATATTAGACGCAATGAACCTAACCTTCTCATTCCATAATTAAAAAAAACAGCAGCGCTTGCCCATGAGATTGTTATTGAAAGAAAATTGTCCTCCATTTCTTGAAAAAAGATATCTCAAAACAAAGGCGCTGAACAGTAATTCCCTCAGAAAATTAAATGTAGACACACTGCCCTTCCATTTTGCTGTTTCTGAACATAAAAAGTTCTATAATTCAAAACTTTGACCTAAAAACTCTTGAAATTTTGGTTTTTCTCTACTGCATGCATTCAAATGGAAAAGAAATTTCACTCAATTTAACT